GTGCTAATACTTGATAATTTGTTTATATGATATTAATATGCAGTGTTCTCATTGTTTTGTTGTTTGTAATCTATGTTTCTATATTCCAGAAGCATCCAAGTTCTTGGGGACAATCCACACAGGTGAATTGTGAGGTGAATGGCGGGTCGGATTATACCGTACTCCAAAAGTTCCTTAATTTGTTAATATACTTCGTCCTTTGATCACATTGGAAATAAAGTTTCGAATATATTGTGGATTCAGTTTTAGTTACGAAAACTACCCTAAGGTTAGTTGTAAGTTATTCGTTGGGATTAGTAAAGAGATTTGGGTGCATTTTGACTAATAGGGTTAGGCTCTTTCTTTGTTCGTTTGTCGTTTTCGTTTTCGTTTGACTTCCTTGATTTTTATTGTTTGATGGGTATGCAAATGTCTTTTATTAAAGATATATTCTTGCTGCTCGGCTTCAAATGCTTTTATCAATGTATATTTTAAGTAACTTTCCGCATCCCATTATATATACTTTGTGAGAAAGAGTGGAGTTATTAATTCTTCTCTTGTTTGTATGCTAAATTTGTTTCCGTTTTTCAGTTCGTTCACGTCCAGTGGTTCGGGACGTGATTGGGGTTTAATTGCCAAATGTCTAGTGAGCACGTGTACGTTTTGTGGTTGTGTCTGATAAGTTCGATGGTTGAGGTATTGTGGAGTCGGTCCCGTATTGTTGTATGTATGTGGTCTATAGTTTGTGGTGGCCGGCCAAGCTTTCTGAACTGGGAATTGAAGTCTGAAACTTATCGGTGTTCTAACAGTTTAAGTGAAAGGGGGATGAGCACTTCGGAGTGGCAGTACACAAGGTCGTATGTTTCTACCTTTAATTTTTTATTTTAAGGCAATAGTGGAGGGCCGAAGGAACATCTACTCGTTTTTTTATTCCGAGGGTCCGTGTTAAATCTTCATGCAATCCGCTTACAAAGGTCATTACGGTCTCGGATTCCGTATGCAGTTCCATACAGCCTACTTTGTTTAATATCAAAGACAAGTGATTATAAGCCACCAGCTAGAATTCTTCTACTGCCTGGTTGCTGCCTTGAACTACCATTGTCATTTGATATTCTAATGTTCCAAAATCTTTTGTATCTGCGTTGCACGATTCGACGGCCGTGTCAGCATTAGCTGTTATTTTGTTCCTCACGGCTTGCAATATGCCGAAGTATTTCGACGAACCAGCTTTAACTGCATAGACTGAAGTTATGCGTTCTACACTCTTTTTAAATGAATAAAATGTTGCCAGGTAAGCGGTTAATTATTTGAGGACCGCAAAGGATTAATGGCAGAAACTCACCGTAATCTATTTCAGGCTTCCGTCCCCGGAACCGTAATACGAATCTCCCACAAATGGCCACAACTAATAGACTAATAGACGATCCGATCTTGATATGAGCTTGCCACCATCAAACGACGAGTCCGGCACTGCTGTTGGTCCCAGTGCACCTCCAATCGCTACCACCTCCACCGCTGTAGCTTCCACAATCGTCAAAAACCCTTCTTATGCAAATGATATGGCATAGAGCTCTATTAAGAAGCCGCCGCCTATTGTGTTAACTGGTATTATAAACCTCAATGACCTCAAGACAGTAATTGACTCTGTAGTAGGCATGAATGACATCGTAGTCGGCTTTAATATGAGAAGAACTATTTGTCTTGAAGCCGAAGATGTGCCCGTAATGGGACTATAGCTATGAAGCTTGAAGATCCGAAAATTGAGCTCTACAGTTTTAAGTTACAGAAGGATAAGCCAAACAGGGTGGTGGTGAAAGGTTTACACTACTCCAGGTTGCACCACCATATTAAACAAGAGATGATAACTCTAAAGCACAACAAGGACAAACATAATATTAAAATAATTAATTGGCAGAAAAGATCGAGCTTATGCGCAAGCAAAGTGAGATCGCCCAATGCAGAAGCTGTTAATGCTATGGGCATACTGCCCGCTTCTGCCGGATTAAGGCAAGATGTTTCCGATGTGGCCAGAACCACAGTTTCTCGGAATGTTTTAAGCCAGTTGGCGTTCCACCCACCTGCGTTCACTTGGAGCAGAGCTCGGTATACATCCAGCCTTGGACCCAAAGCACTTATTGGTGGCGATTGGATTGCGCGGCACTGGCTGTGGCATCCCACATCCGGTCATCACCGGACCATCAGTTCCAGATGCGAACTATATGCTACATGTCTGGCTTCCCATGGGGTAAGGGTCCGTGATAGGTTCTCCAACTAGGTACACCCAAAGGTGTACGACCAAAGCCGTAGATGAAGCCCGTCCCGACTTTGCCATGTATCAAGGTATACCCGCTGGGATTACAAGGATTTCAGACTGATGGGACCTGCACAGCGACCACTTGGCGTTGGTTGTGGAAATTAGGACATAGCCCACGGCCGTCTTGGCTGTTCTCCAGATATTCTTTAATTCATGTCTTCAAAAGTCAGCTGGACGAGTCTGAATATGGAGCTGTATACGAGTCAGGACATTGACACAATTGATTCAGGGTACTCTCTATGGAAGGCTACTAGGTCTCTTAAGTGGCATAAATGGCCATTCGCCATTGCCGCCGACATTGCCGTATTGAGCAGGAGTTGGACTCCCCATTACAGATGGACTTGCTAATAAAACCTGTATGAGTGAAAGAGGTGATCGAAGTGGTCAATCGACTGCCGAGGAAAAAATCCCCTTGGCAAAATTTGGCTTACTGTGGATGTTATTATCTGGTCTGTCTCTATTTTTCTATTTGTAAGCCAAGATGTCGTTGTTGTAGTCTGTATATGCTATGTCTGCTTAACTGGGATTTATCTGCTTGGAGGTCTAATCATTGGCCATTAAATGAGTGTAAGTTTGTTTTGTTCTATATTTTCTTTTAAGTGTTTTTCATTTGAAAACCTGTGGCTGCTTCTTTCCTCTACTTTGGAGGGTCTCTAACGAATCACAAAGCTTAAATTTCGTTATGCTACGTTTGACATTTTTATATATTTTATTATCGTTTTAATCTTACATATTCTTCTTTTTTTCTTATTGTTTTAAGATATTTCCTATGTTGTATATCTTTTTTTAAGCGCTGAACCCATTAAAAATGGGTAAAAAGGATATACTGTATTTGTGCAAAATGCAACTGTATGTAACAGACAGAAGGAAGCATCTCCGACCCCACAAAGCAAATACATTTATTCTTGATCAGCACCAATAGCAGAGTCTATCTAGCCATGTCCGCCTGTCTGTCAGTTCGTCCCTCCGTCCGTCCGTATGTATGAACGCAAGGAAATTAGAACCTATAAGAGCTAGAGATTCGAAATTAGCTGTAGGTCCTCCTAGTGCCAGCGCAGATCGAGTTTGTTTCCGATAATCGATAACTTTCTCGATATCCTGTTTTTTTTCTTAGCAAATTGAGTAAATATGAAGAGCTAGAGTCACCAAACTTGATATGGTGCTTCTTGAATAGTACCACTAACTATACAATGTTTAGATATACCAAATGGCCCTTTTTATCGAAACGAAAAAAATCGAAACGAGACGACCCCAAGGGTACTTGCGACCATTTTAGTGTGCCCAGACAGAGTATGTCTTCTGAGAGTGGCAGCCGAACGCCGGCCTCAAAAGCCGAACGTTCAGTATGAAGCGGCATCTTGCTCAGCGTACAACGTCTGCGGCTGATGATGCGATTTCTTAATATATGAATGTATGCCATTTTTTAATCCTTACAGCCCCAAAACATATATGTGTATGCATATGCCTCGCTTTCACTCATTGCCTCGCGCACTTGCATCCATCTCTTTCTCCCTGCATAGCTTCACACAAAACCCCGAGACCTACAAACATTCACACGCTTGTGTTGTGTGGATGTGCACACAAGTAGATCGCGGCGATTGTAGCGAGCCAGATGTTATTTCTTCAATTCTGTGCTTTTTATGCCTGTGGTAGCAATAGGCACTCACATTTAAATGCTCTATCATGTATTTCTTCGTCCAGTCAGGCATGATGAGAAGAATTTGATCAAATTTTATTTAATACACAATTAATTGACCTAAATGAAATATTTATATTTATTTTCTGTGTACTGCAGGGACCTATTTTGCTTGAAATACAAAAATATTTAAGTCGTATTTCTGAAAGGGTAATTCATCGTAGGGGGAAGTGAAATGACATGGCCGACCTAAAATGAAGCGTGTATAATTTTGGTAACATAATTAAATTTTCTAGTTCATATCTTCAATTACAAGTTCAACTGGTGGTTGTACAAGTTGTTCATCAATAACATTTATATCCTCTGTCCACTGAACACATTTCTTATACATATCTGAAATTTCACATTTTGCCAAATCTGTGGAATGTGCCCTGTGCGTTTCTCCATAAGAAAACACATATCACACATCTTTCAAAAAAGGCACAATTTTGAAAAACGTTTAAATTAGCCCGAAAATTTCTTGTTTTTTCCAATGATTAATCGAGATTTCTATCGATATTGTGAAAAGTGGTAAAGTATCGTAATCGTAAACAGCTGATATATCAACGAAGGTTCGAGAGCGCAATATTTGAGTTTTCTAAAAATAACTTTACGGCGTTTATATAAATTAAAGAAACTCGATAAGCTCTTTTTTTAAGAAGCGGTACTTCTCCCACGTACATGTTACCGACAACCGGTGGAACACCAATATGTGAAATTTGAAAATGTGACATTTCTTAAACCAGTAGACAGACTCTATTAGTTTTTTAATAAATATTCGTGAGGGTATAATTTTAAACATATATGCTAAATACATTATTCTGATTATCAATCAGGATGATGATAACAAATACTGTAATTATAATAATTTAGAATATTTTTATTTCTTTAGTATGTTAGAAAATTATTCCTTTGGTTATAATGTACAAAAGTGGTTTGAATTTAGTAATATAATCTCTTACGTATATACTTTGTGTGTAATCTGAGTTTAAATCGGTAATATATATCTCGTTAAGTATTACTGAGCAATTATGAATTTGTATTATGTTATTTCCCTCAATTAATGATACCGTATCAAAAGTGATATCTTAATTGAGGGAAATAACATGTTACGAAACTGCTTGTTTCTTGGTGGGCTGGCTCATCGGTTTCTCTGGGTGCAGTCCCATCCCTGCCCCGCAGTCCGCACAATCGATAACAACAAAGCTACACTCCTGTAGCAAAACAGACTTACACAACACTATGAAAAACGAACCACAAATCGATAGCATCAAACAATCGGAACTTCTAACAGATGAACAACATAAACAGCTGTGACGATAAGTAAATGTAAACAACAAAGATGAGATGTTGATATACACTAACAAAAACATTATTAATCCACTTTACTCTTCCAGATCGGGCCCGGTACCCGCCCAACCATGAGACGATCACCTACTCGTCTCTCACTTTTGGCAATGGCCAAAATGGCCAATGGCCATCTAATGAGATTGCCATCAGCCTGGGCCGGCAGTTATACCAACTCTCCCCCATCAAAGAAAATTTAGCCGAACACTTCTCTCTTCAGATACGGTATATAATTGGTTGCATTTCTTATCGATATTAACACTTAATCTTATTTCTTATTCCCCTGCAGGTTATCTTCAAGCTGCTATTGATAAATTCGTACACGCGAACATTTCCGGCATTTTAAAATAGGTGCATACGATAAATTGGTATATTCTTATATTTAGAACAATTTAATTTTAAATTTCAATTTTTTCACTTCTTTCAACTTTGCTTCAACAAGTATCTATAACGTGTTGCATCATTTCATATTTATAACAATATCTGTTAATCTTAAAAATATTAATTTTTTTTGTACAGAATACATTTTTCATACTGAGCAAGGGGAAAGGCGTTGTTTGTCAAAGCGCTTATATTACCTTGCCTGCCTAAAAAACTCTGTGGGTGGGGGGCACCTGCACCTGAGGTGCGTAACATATATAAATTAGGTTTTAAATAATCAGTCCTCGCGGATTATTTTGATAGAACTTTATATTAATAATGATTTATAAAACACTAGGCCGACACGTCGTAGTGAGTGAGTTAAATTATACACGAAGTCGCTGGGCCGATGTGTCGCAGTGAAAGTCGAATTAAAAACTAAATTTACAAAAGATTGATCAAAAATACCTAAGCTATTGTGTGCTTTCACAACGGCCGCTAGAATGCTTAGCTTGCGCCTCGTACGCTCCGTCGTGCAAGAACATCCGGCCCAGAGCTATGTCAGCATCTGCGGCTGGTGTTATGTTGGATTTTGCTGACCCCTGTTAGCTCGTAAGAACATCCGGCTCAGTGCTATATCAGCATCTGGAGCTGGTGTCGTTGGTCTCTGTTAACTGCTACCCTTTTAAGTTAAGGCCGCCCTCGGCCGTTCCTATCTCGGCGATCACCTTCTAAATCTCCTTGGTGATTCCGACGCAAATTATGGTGCAACACACAGCACCCAACAAGAAGGCTGTTACCACGCTGTCGACGCTTCTTATTTCGTCCTTGACTTCCTTGATCTCAAGGTTACGTTCATTCAGGCGATGAAGGTATGGGAGACTCAAACGTCTTGGTGGCCGGTGACGTTCAGAAGGGGAGATGCCGCGATGCCGGGGAACTTACCCTGGACGTTGTTGCGATTCAAGTACTTAGTTTCGTTGATCAGAGCCCAATTATTGAACGTGATTAGATTCGTTCCGTGAACCCAAGTCTCAATACCGTTGTCAACGCAAACTTTAGCAGGCTGGTTATTGATGATCAGAATTCCGTCATCAACCCATGTGATCGGGTCTAAGTGACTCGGCTGCATTTAGCAGTTTGCCAAGCTACCAGCATGCAGCTCTCTGACACAAGAGCTGGTCGGTAAAAGTTGACAAAAGGTTCCTCCCGGCGTGGAAGTGCAATTCTTAAGGGCAAGCACTTGATCTCCGCACTCAGCTATAATGTTGTCGTCAATTTGTAGCACAGCTTTCTCATGTGCAACTGGATACAGCATCACCTTTCTGCAAGCCATTTTGGTTTTCGAGAACTTAATGATAAAGTGAAGGGCATTAACAGATTATAATACTTTCACGGACGCAACGGACATAAGGTCAGCTATTGAAGTACCTGTGGGTTCATCGACCCAAACAGATTTCAAATCTGCGTGATCTAATATATTTGGGCTTATGATATTAATTTTTGCAAGGGTAACAGCGAGCATCAAATTCTGCATTTCCATCAGCAACATTCTATTCCGAGCTAAAAGAGTTTCGTATAAATGCCCGGAATCTATCCGATTCTTTTTTGCAGCTTTTAGTAATGTGTTGACACTTGTAGTGAGTTGATTAATTTGTTCCTGAACTTTTGTGTTGATAGCTACCTGTCGGTTGTTAGAGTTCACCGACTGTAACTCAGTGAATTTGATCTTCTCGAAGTTACTGGCGTCAGATATTCCCGCAACTACTTTGAGGGCTGTGCCCAAGAAATCTAAGCTTCTTGCCACCCTGTGGTGCACGCCAAGAGCTTTTAACAGATCTCTGAGGTGGGACTCGTCTACGCTTAGAAGCTTTCTCATGTGTGACTGTGGACACATTTCACATAGCTCCATTGTTTCGTTTACCATTTTCTCGTACTCAGAGATGTTTGCTGTGTGCCTGACGAAATTGAATTCCCCCCAGACCAGAACTTGGCCCTCAACAATGGGAATATACTTGGCGTGTGAGTAATTAGGCACACGCGCTGCCGCATTTGAAAAAAATATAAATAGCAGAAACCCGAACCTGCGGAAGACAGACAAAACGGACCAAGCTATTACAACGTGTCTTCCTAAAGGAAATTCCAAGTGACGTAAATATTAAAACTTGAAGGTGAAGCCTAGTGGCACAATTGTTGAAACTTATAGTTAAATTCAAGATGCATATAATCGATGTTTTACTTCAGCTGTCGCCCTACTTAAGGTTGTCCTTGTGGACCACCCTCCCTCCAATGAGAACGGTCGTACCAAGGTCTGCCTCTACGATCCGTTCTTCACATAAGGGCTTGAGTTAATTGCCAAGCCTGCGGTTTATTTTTACTAAAACTTTTTCCATAGTTGTTTAACAACAGGGTCTTTATCGTTTGAGATTCATCGAAGGCTCGTTGTCGCATTAAATTGTTCTGGCTCGTGGAAAGAAATTTGTGAGCTGCAGTAGTGGAGCTTTTAAATCCACGATAGTGCGCGATTGAATTGGAAAAAAAAAATTTTTTGTCCGTGAAAAAAATATAAATGTGTAGCAATTCCCCAGGAGTCTCAGGGATCGGAGTTTCTCCTAGCTCCTGTCTTTTCGGGTGTCTATCGTATTTGGCTGCCGAGCAGATTCTACAACTTTCCGCAATTTCTTTAGCTAACTTCGCTATTTTAGGGAAATTGTATTCTGATAACACTGGCTTAACATTTTCTTGAGCTGCTCTGTGCGCTCTATTATGTTCGGCAACGAGAATTTCTCTCCTCTCATCAACGTTGAAGACATCTGCAACTCGGTTTTTGCAGTGCCAGAACTTTGTGCCTGGAAACATGCGAACTAAGCCATCTTGCACCTGTGCTAGTGTGTGCAGGTTGCAATAGAGGGCATTGACCGCATTTGGATTAATCAAGTCAAGCAGTTCATCTAAAAGGGCTGTGTGATCAGTGAAGCCCACTTCATGACGCCTCTTGTCCCCGAAAAGAATGAAGTTGCGTTTAATGGGGACGCGTGCCTCTTCAATGACAATTTGATTTTGGAAACAAATAAGTGGCTTTTCGGTCGACTCAATTGTATAGGTCAAGCACAGCTCACTGTGGACTGTGGCTGCGCAGGAATTAGTATTCAGCTCGTCAAGAGTGTTGAGCTGTTATCGCGATAGCGCATCAGCAACTAAATTCTCCTTGCCTGGCTTATAAAATATTCGCGCATTCGTTTCCTGAATGCGCGCCTTCCATTTTTTAATCTTGGCGTTCGGGTTTGACTCAGAAACGGCACAAGTTAACGGTTGGTGATCCGTGAAAATGTTAATGTCTTTTACTCCATATAGGTAGTGACGTAGCTTGCTAAGGGCCCAAACTATAGCCAAAAGTTCCCGCTCGTTGGTGGCGTAGTTCACCTCCGGGGGTTTCAATCTTCTAGAAATCATTGAGATGGGGCGACCCTCTTGAGAAAGCACTGCCCCTATGCCGTAAGCTGAAGCGTCTGTCGTTAGATCAAACGGCTTCTTAAAGTCAGGGTATCTGAGCATGACGTTTTCTGACGACAAAATGTTGCGTAATTTTTGGAATGCGTGATGCTAAATCTCAGAGAATTCTACCGGGATGTTTCGCGATCTATGTTTACTTACTGACCCATTCTCGCCCTTTAGAAGATCAGAAATAGGTTTTGCTATTGGGGCAAAGTCTTTGATGAAACACCTATAATAACTAGCCAGTCCTAAAAATGATCTGATCTCGAATAAATTCTTTGGTTCTAGGTACTCCTGAATCGCTTTGACTTTTTCGGGGTCCGCTGTAGCTCCATTACTGGTTACCACGAAACCAAGAAAACCTACGCTTTTCTTAAAATCTCCTTGGAAATTCTCATATTTGCCTCGTACAGGCTCTTTAAGACCCACTCTACATGTTGGACATGAGAACTTGCGTCTTTTGAGAAGACGATGACATCGTCAACGTAGACATAGATTTGCCAATTTGCTCACGCAGTACGTCGTCAACAGTTCTTTGGAAGATGCTGGCCGCATTCTTCAACCCAAAGGGAAGTCGACAAAATTCGTACTTCCCCCCGTTAACTGCAAAGGGTGTTTTTTACCGGTCACGCTCTGCTAGCGTGATCTGGTGATAGCCGATTTTTGGTTTAATGTCAAAAAGTATTTAGCTTTGCCAAGATTCCCCAAAATCATTGGAATGTTAGGCATAGGGTATCTGTCTGTGATGGTTTTCTCGTTAAGTTTGCGAAAATCCATTACTAGGTGCATATTTTTGTTACCAAACTCGTCCGTCCCCTTCTTGTCCACCACCCAAATGGGGTTGTTGTAGGGGGAGACATATTTCTTGATGATACCGTTCTTCAGAGGGCTTTGAATCTGTTTATTAACGAATTCCGCTGCTCCCATGGGCTAGGGGTACAGTCGGACATAAATTGGTTGTTCATCAGTGGTCCTGATGGTTGCCACCACTGATGTGTTATAGGGAAGTGCTTCTTCCGGATCTGCGAAGGCCTTATGTTTGCTTTTTAGCACCTTTAGGAATGCATCTTTTACAGCATCGGGCGCGTCGGCGCAGTCAACATTGGTAAAGTTAACATCCGCGCACCTGTGGAATTCGATTTGTTCAGTTTCTGCGCCACATTTGAGTTGGCCAGAAGAAAGACAAAGCGAAACTCCTGCTTGTGTTGTCAAGTCGAGGCCCACAATTCCATCAAATGTGGACAGGCTTGGGAGTAAGAAAAATGTGGCAGTTTTGCCGAACAGAGATATAAGGCACTTATGAGTGATCTTCGTGGTGCCGTGTATAGAATGGGTAAAGAAGGGAGAATTTACTGGGCACAGACCTTTTAGATTTTTATGTGGTCTGATATAATTCTTGGAAGCGCCCGTGTCGATGAGAAACCTCATCTAGATCCCTGCCACTCTTCTACTGGTGTAGGGCAGCAGGGAGCTTACCCTAAAAAATTGAGAGTGTCTGAGTCATAACCGCTACCATTGTCGTCGGCAATTTGCTGTTCTGCTGCTGCTGCAGAGCTAGCATACGAACCTGAATCTTGATCCGGCTCGTGAGCTGTGTGATTGACTCTCTGCCTTCTCTGTCCGCTTAAACGCCCACGCGTGACCGTTCTTTTGTAGGCTT